GGTGTGGAAGTCAAGAGTACTGGGGTGTGGAAGCCAAGAGTACTGGGTGAGGAAGTCAAGAGTACTGGGTGAGGAAGTCAAGAGTACTGGGGTGTGGAAGCCAAGAGTACTGAGTATGGAAGTCAAGAGTACTGGGGTGTGGAAGCCAAGAGTACTGAGTATGGAAGTCAAGAGTACTGGGGTGTGGAAGCCAAGAGTACTGAGTATGGAAGTCAAGAGTACTGGGTAAGGAAGTGTTCTGCTCTGGGTTTGGTCCCATCCACAACAGCGACGAAATATCGCCAATATTAAGTCGCCAAAGGCGCGGAGAACAAATGGCTCTACAGACCTTTAAATTACTGCAGCGTCTGCCTTTGCTAGGGCTCAGCATTTTCCTGGGCAAAGATGAAGCCAATGTTTGGGCAGAACTGAAAGTGAGAATTGTTTTGCAGAGATGAGTTTGGTGTTTTTTTCTATGCGTGGGGCTTTTCACATCGAGGGAGAGAGAGAGAGAGAGAGAGAGAGAGAGAGAGAGAAAGAAAACGAGAGAGAGAGAGAGAAAACGAGAGAGAGAGAGAGAGTCAGAGAAGGAAGCACATTCACCATCACTCGTTCCTTGGCTGTCTCGTCAACCGAGAGAAGTTAGGAACCAGTTGTGGTCATCTCAACCATCCATCTACTACTGTAGACATTCTCTCTCTCTCTCTCTCTCCAATACCTGGAGCCTCCTCCTTTCCCTCCTTGCATGACCACACGCCTCTCCTATACAAAAGTTTTCTCACCACTTCTCTCCAGTACAGTTCCCCTTTGCTATCCATCAAATGACAAATCTCTTTCAATTCTCAACCCCCTCAACACCCTGGAAACTTTCCTCCCATCATCTGTTCCGCGGTAGACCTCGTCCTTCACACACACACACACACACACACACACACACCACACACACACGTACTCATATACAACAGGGCCTAGTGTCTAATCGACATGTGCCTAGGACAAAATGGTAACTAACACACAGGAGCTTGGACTCGACCCCCGCAACCTCAACTAGGTGAGTACACACCTAGTAGCGATAAGTGAAGAGGCGGGGCCAGGACCTGAGTCTCGACCCCTGCAACCACAATTAGGTGAGTACACACGCGCACACACACACATACACACACAAACACACACACACACACACACACACACACACACACACACACACACACACACACTCACACACACTATCACACACAAATCACACACACTATCACACACAATCACACACAATCACACACACAATCACACACACACACAATCACACACACACAATCACACACACACACACACACACACACACACACACACACACACACACACACACACACACACACACACACACACACACACACTCGTCTGTGTCTGCTCATACCTTCACTACCAGATATCTGAATACGTGTACGTCCATCAAGATGTTTCTATCTCTCTCTCTCTCTCTCTTTATCTTTGTCTCTCTCTTTATCTCTGTCTCTCTCTCTCTTTCCTACCCCTCCCCCCCGTCTCCAATCTTTCATTTTTTTTCTAAATGCTTCCATCACGACGTTTTTCTCTGTTCTCACCTCTCTTACTCCCATCATTTACACTTCCTTCTATTCCCCTCCTCCTCAGCGGTTCCTTTCTTTCATATCTCGCTTTATGCATCAAAAGATGCATGATTTATTATACAAGAAGTGATATTTAGTTTATTATAGAAGGAAAAAAATACACGGATTATACACTACTGTGCAACAGATTTTATACATTACTACTGATCAATAATTTTGTGTGTATGGAAATACACAAGTATATAATGTATGCTCATTCCAACATTCTTCCTGTGTTTTATACACAGTATTAATTATACACACATCTTTTACCAACAAAAAACATTATTTATTTTGTGTGTGTTTTAACTAAGGATTTAAAATGTAAACATATATACATGTGATAATTCCAGTGGGTTAAGTGCTACTTTTTTTGTCCTGGCCACTTGTGTCTCGGGGAGTCTCAATATTATAGTTTGAGGAGACCCATAAATGTACATACTGTACTTAGAACAAACACACTGTACCCACAACACTCACCAACACACTGTACCCACAACACTCACCAACACACTGTACCCACAACACTCACCAACACACTGTACCCACAACACTCACCAACACACTGTACCCACAACACTCACCAACACACTGTACCCACAACACTCACCAACACACTGTACCCACAACACTCACCAACACACTGTACCCACAACACTCACCAACACACTGTACCCACAACACTCACCAACACACTGTACCCACAACACTCACCAACACACCGTACCCACAACCAACACTCACCAACACACTGTACCCACAACACTCACCAACACACTGTACCCACAACAAACACTCACCAACACACTGTACCCACAACACTCACCAACACACTGTACCCACAACACTCACCAACACACTGTACCCACAACACTCACCAACACACTGTACCCACAACACTCACCAACACACTGTACCCACAACACTCACCAACACACCGTACCCACAACAAACACTCACCAACACACTGTACCCACAACACTCACCAACACACTGTACCCACAACACTCACCAACACACTGTACCCACAACACTCACCAACACACTGTACCCACAACACTCACCAACACACTGTACCCACAACACTCACCAACACACTGTACCCACAACACTCACGAACACACCGTACCCACAACCAACACTCACCAACACACTGTACCCACAACACTCACCAACACACTGTACCCACAACAAACACTCACCAACACACTGTACCCACAACACTCACCAACACACTGTACCCACAACAAACACTCACCAACACACTGTACCCACAACACTCACCAACACACTGTACCCACAACTCACCAACACACTGTACCCACAACACTCACCAACACACTGTACCCACAACACTCACCAACACACTGTACCCACAACACTCACCAAGACACTGTACCCACAACCAACACTCACCAACACACTGTACCCACAACACTCACCAACACACTGTACCCACAACAAACACTTACCAACACACTGTACCACCCACACACACACACAACATCAACCCAACACACACACACACACACACACACACACACACACACACACACACACACACACACACACACACACACACACACATATATATATATATATATATATATATATATATATATATATATTATATATATATATATATATATCATGGCGGGTTTAGACATTTTTTCGTGTGTCGTGTAACAGAAGAATGGAGTTCAATTAGTTAGCAGTGTCATCCCAGTCTGCTGGTCTGGGGGTGTGGTAGTCTGTGTGGGTCTGCGGGTGTGGTAGTCTGTGTGGGTCTGCGGGTGTGGTAGTCTGTGTGGGTCTGCGGGTGTGGTAGTCTGTGTGGGTCTGCGGGTGTGGTAGTCTGTGTGGGTCTGCGGGTGTGGTAGTCTGTGTGGGTCTGCGGGTGTGGTAGTCTGTGTGGGTCTGCGGGTGTGGTAGTCTGTGTGGGTCTGCGGGTCTCGGGAGGAAGGACTATGGGTAAAATTCTCGGGTTTTGTGGACTGAAATTCACCTCTGAATTGATTGGAATAGTACAGAGCGCAACAGGAACTCTTGACACCTAGTAGGAATACATGTGAGTACACTGGAGGGCATGTGTGTACATTGGAGTACATAGGTGTACACAGGAGTACATGGGTGTACACAGGAGTACACGGGAGTATATGGGTATACACAAGAGTACATGGAAATACATGGATAAGGTAGATTACATTTTGTCTCACTGTCTAAATCGAGACTATCCGCTGAGGTAGATTATCTACTGTCTGTCTACTATTAACTGGGATGAAGAAAATAGAGATAAGGACAGCCGATATGAGGATAATTAAGCTCAGACCAGGATAATTCAGCATTAAAGAAAGTGTACGAGAGTACATGAGTTGTGTCACTGTGTACTCACCTGGTTTTGTGTGTGTGTGTGTGTGTGTGTGTGTGTGTGTGTGTGTGTGTGTGTGTGTGTGTGTGTGTGTGTGTGTGTGTGTGTGTGTGTGTGTGTTTGCTTGAACACAACATTTGCATGCTGGTAGTGTTGGCCACATACCAGACTCACATACCATGGCGAGGACCTCGCCTGTTCGGGCGTAATATTTCACTCATTTCCATTACCATTCACTGTAACATTATGTAACATTACAGCCCAGCGTTTGGGACTTTCATACTAATATTCTGTCATAACTTTCATAAATCCGCAAAGAGAGTGTCTCTCATCTATTTTTCTAAGAGTCACAAATTATAGAATACGATGTACGCCTTACGCAATTCTTTGACTCATTCGACAAATGAGTCACAAAACATGAAATACTGCCTCATGCTCTGCGGTTAAGTAACGCCGGCAGTAGGAATGGTAACGATGCAGTTATTACACTGGATACTTTATTTCTGTGTTATCTCTCGTTGATCTGTATTTTTGGTTCAAGGCGTTTACCGGGAGTTTTTTTTTTTTAACACAGACTAGGTGAACCTCCACTAGTTGTCTTCCGGAGTTGTGAATAACAAATACGTGAGAATAAGTGATTGAGGTGTCACCTCGGTGTTTAACATATAAAATGTGCTGCTCTTGTCTCTCCTTCCAATTCCTCTGAAGATGTGTGTATGCACACGAAAACGCTCATTGACTTTCCTATTTTCACTGTAGTATTTTTATATATGTAATCTTCATTATTCAAGGGGAGACAATAGAATGATATTATATTGTTGATAGTAAAGATTATCAAGTCAATGAGAAAGATACATTCGCCTGTATAGCAGGTTTCTCAGTCCAATACAACACTGGAAATGTTGTAGAAGTTATTTTTGGTGAAGAGATACCCAAATGTTGTACATGTATCTTATCGTACTATGCCATATAGTGATCCACGTTCGCATACAGTGATCCTTATGTTGCCATCTCTCTCTCTCTTTCAGGAAGGACAGAGACCGTAAATCGAGAACGTCCCTCAGATGTGTGTGTATCTTCAGCGTCCACGAGGTGAAGATGTTATCACAGAGTGAAGCATGAAACCCCACACTCTGCTCCACCGTTCAACATGCGTCTGACGAAACGCTTCGTTAATAAACAGTTTAAGTCGTACCACTCTACCAGTTCATCGTACGTTTCTCCGTAGAGTGTTACAAGAGCCAGTGTAGTGAGTAACTGGAAGATGAATGAAGTAGATTTAGTGAGGAGACTAGATAACTATGGAAACTACGGTACAAGTGACAGTAGCAATTCTACAGAACATTATGCTAGGTGTAATTCATCTAGATACGTCAAGTGTGTGTGTAGCGTTCCCAGTGAAAAACAACAGGCAGGACGCCTTACACGGTGCGAATCGCACAGGAGAGATAACATGGAGCGATGCACACAGTGCGGCGTACATCAAACATGCGTACAGAACAGAGTGCTATTTCAGAAATGCGGCTCATTGCAGAAGACAGTACGATGCTGCAATGCCCGAGTGCACAGAACTGTTGCTGTCGCGTCATCCACAGTGAACACTGTCAGATACACCACACAGTGCACTCCAAGTGGATCCCTGGCGTTAAAGCCTTCCTATGACCTGTCTGAAAATTCTATCCCTGCTAAACCCATTCCACCACCACCACCACCATCTTTATTTGTACCATCCTCAGCATCTCCACTCGTTCAGTCATCCATCTTACCAAACCCATCGTCTGTTTTGGTTCATTTTCCTTTTTTACTTAACGTTTCAAGGCCTGATGAAGAGGTTCATTCTTTATCTGTAAATGATGAAGTTCATCTTTTATCTGTAAATGATGAAGAGGTTCATCCTTTATCTGTAAATACTGATCACGTAGTAAATTATTTATTTTCTGCAGTCCCGGTGACAGGTGTTTCCCTAGGCTCATCAATATACAAAATAAATCCAAATACAACAAGATCAGTTATTGTATTTCTACCTTCCTTAATCTATACTGCAATTTCTGACGGTGACCTTCACTGTCTTAAATCCTTCCACTCTTTGTATACTCGACCCTCTGTCTCGCATTCTCTTACGATATCATCTACATCATTCTTAAGACCACATGCCAGATCATCTACAACGCCAAGACCACCACCTGCAATGCGGTCTACGACCCCAGCCGCATCTCCTGCAATGCAGTCTACCATATACGCTCCGTCACTTACAATACAATCTACGACACCCGCTGCGTCACCTACAATACAATCTACCACACACGTTGCGTCACCTACACTACCATCAACAAAATCCACTACATCAGAGTCTACACCCACCCCAGTAACTCCCAAACTCCACACGAGAGCCGAACCACAACATCGTGGAAAGAGGACCAGCATCTCGAGTGCCAGGTTGCTAGAGCCGAGCACCTGCACGCCTGAGGGAGAAGTACACGTCGAAGCGTCACCTGCGCGGTGCCTGCGTTCGAAGTGGACCTCGAAGCGAGGCAGCTGCCATCAGAGAGGCGGAGACGTCCTCACAGCTGCCTTCACCATGCTCGCTGTCGTCTTCTCCACTGCTTACTCCTACGAACTCAAACGTAAGTAGGAGAAATGGTACTTGGCTTTCCCTATAGTTAATAACTGTTTCAACATTCTGGTTTAGTAAACAGAGGATCGAGCCTCCACCACCACTCCTTACTTCGTATGGTTGCAAAAGTATTACAGTAGGTTCTTGAAATACGACTATGCAATGAAATGCAAGCGACGACCGAAGACTGAACGACATCCTTGTACAGGCCGAACACTTTAAGCGGAATACCTCCAGCTCTCATTACTGTGAAGTATGACCCCTCTGTGACTATACTACTACTGCTACTACTAATAATAATCATAATAATAATAATGAAAATAATATTATGATGTTAATAATAATGATAAAAAGTATAATAATAAAATAATAATAACGAAAATAATATCAATAATAATAATAATAATAGTGGTGAGAAAAGGGGGAGCAACCGATGGTCTCTATCTCTCTTTCTCTCTCTGTCTCTGTCTCTCTATCTCTCTCTCTCTCTCTCTCTCTCTCTCTCTCTCTCTCTCTCTCTCTCTCTCTCTCTCTCTCCCAGTGTAGCTAATACAGAGTAATGCTGGGGTCCATCTTGCCAATTTTCTCTGCCTCATTTCTCAAGCTGCTACCTGGCAGGGAAGAAAAATGAGAGAGACAGAGACAGAGACAGAGAGAGAGAGAGAGAGAGAGAGAGAGAGAGAGAGAGAGAGAGAGAGAGAGAGAGAGAGAGAGAGAGAGAGAGAGAGAGAGACAGACAGACAGACAAACAGAGACAGAGACAGACAGAGACAGACAGAGACAGACAGAGACAGACAGAGACAGACAGAGACAGACAGAGAGACAGACAAAGAGAGAGACAGAGACAGAGGAGTCAAGAACAAACCTAAGCTGTTCCAACTAGCTCTTTCCTTTCCTCTCCGTTTTTTTCCCGGTTTGTAGTTGACGTTGATGTGTGTGTGTGTGTGTATGCGTTTATTCACCTATTTGTACTCACCTATTGGTGGTTGCAGGGGTCGATTCATAGCTCCTCTCCCCGCCTCTTCACTGTTTACTACTAGGTCCTCTCTCTCCCTGCTCCATGAGCTTTATCAAACCTCGTCTTAAAGCTTATGTACGGTTCCTGCCTCCACTACATCACTTTCTAGGCTATTTCACTTCCTAACAACTCTGTGACTGAAGAAATACTTCCTAACATCCCTCTGACTCACAGGAGTCTTCAAATTCCCATTGTGATCCCTTGTTTCTGTGTCCCATCTCTGGAACATCCTGTCTTTGTCCACCTTGTCAATTCCTCGCATTATTTTAAATGTCTTTATCATGTCTCCCCTAATCCTCCTGTCTTCCAGTATCGTCAGGCCGATTTCCCTTAACCTTTCTTCGTAGGACAATTCCCTTAGCTCTGGGACTAGTCTTGTTGGTAGGTAAGACACATAGGCAACAGTTATGCAACTTTATTCCGAAACGTTTCGCCTACACAGTAGGCTTCTTCAGTCGAATACAGAAAGTAGGCAGGAACATTAGAGATGTGAAGACGATGTAAACAGTCCATCACCCTTAAAGTCGAAGATTTGAGGTTGTCAGTCCCTCAGCCTGGAGAGGTTCAGTTCCATAGTCAGGAACTATCTGAAGATCAAGCGACAGTGCGGAGACTTAAATACTGTCGGAAGGAGACTTAAATACTGTCTTAAAAACTGTCGGTATTGTATACCATTTTGATATTTATCCTGTCAGACACTGCAACACAATGGCATCTTGGTACAGAAAACACCTTGGACAACTTTTTCAAGTGAGAAATGTTTAATTTGAGAGGGACATGTCCTCTCAGTGGCTGCTTTCTCACTACTACTACTCTGCACCTCTCCTTCCTACAGTATTAAAGTCTCCGCACTGTCGCTTGATCTTCAGATAGTTCCTGACTATGGAACTGAACTTCTCCAGGCTGAGAGACTGACAACCTCAAATCTACGACTTTAAGGGTGATGGACTGATTACATCGTCTTCACATCTCTAATGTTCCTGCCTACTTTCTGTATTCGACTGAAGAAGCCTACTGTGTAGGCGAAACGTTTCAGAATAAAGTTGCATAACTGTTGCCTATGTGTCTTACCTACCAACCTGTCGATATTGTATACCATTTTGATATTCACTAGTCTTGTTGCAAACCTTTGCACTTTCTCCAATTTCTTGACGTGACTGACCAGGTGTCGATTCCAAACTGGTGCTGCATACTTCAATATGGGCCTGACGTACATGGTGTACAGATCCTTGAACGATTCCTTAGTGAGGTATCGGAACGCTATTCTTAGGTTTGCTATGCGCCCATATGCTGCAGCAGTTATCTGTTTGATGTGCGCCTCAGGAGATGTGCTCGGTATTATACTCACCCCATTATCTGTTTCCTTGACTGAGGTTTGCAGTCTTTGTCATTTGCCATTGTCTGCAGTCTTCTTTGCCCTTCCCCGATCTTCATGACTCTGCATTTGGCGGGGTTAAATTCAAGGAACCAGTTGCTGTCTAGGTCTCTTTGTAGTCCAACCTGATCCTCATCCGATTTAATTCTCCTCTTTAACTTAACATCATCTGCAAACAGGGCCACTTCTGAGTGGCCCTGATCCCTGTGGAACCTCGCTCGTCACAGGCGCCCACTCTGACACCTCATCACGTACCATGACTCTTCGTTGCCTCCCTGTCAGATATTCTCTGATCCATTGCAGTGCCTTTCCTGTTATGCATACCTGATCCTCTAGCTTTTTCATTAACCTCTTGTGAGGAACTGTGTCGAAGGCCTTCTTGCAGTCCAAGAAAATGCAATTTATCCACCCCTCTCATGTCCCTTAGTCATGCTTTCTCCTACAGAATCCTGTTTCGAGCCGATTCTGCCTTGAAAATCACTCTGACTGGCCGGTTTCTTCCTCTTGCATACCCCCCTATTCTCAGAAAATTTGCTACTGGGTCATGTCATCTTCTCCCATTGCTTTCATAATGCTTTCAATCGCTTTTTTCTCCCCTTGTCTTCTTGGTTCGTAAGTTTCCCTTTCAGCTTCCTGGAGCCCATAAACAAAGACTGATCTCTCCCTTTCATTCTCCCACTGCATATCCCTATGGATCCAGTGATTCGATTTAACTGCCTCCATTGCAGCTTTCCTTTCTTCAATCTCTTCACTATCTGTTGCCCCTGGGCCCAGTGGTCAGTCATTTTCCCTTCTCAGCTGTGGTCTGTTAGGGCCTCTACGTGTGACTTAGCTCTTTCATTTTCTGAAGTCCCCTCAAGTGTTCCTGATGTGATCCTCTTTTCTTCTCGGGCACCACGATGGTCTGACAGGGCCTCTGCATATAGTTTCACTCCTTCGTTCCCTACAGTGTGTGTCTCGGTGGCCCTGTGTTCGTTTTTTTGTCCACGTTCTTATGGGTTCCTTGCGTGTCACCTGCTAAAAATTATACCTGTGATTACATAGTGCTTCCGCTGTTGTTAATTATCGACCCCTATAATTACCTTGCAAGTATAATTAATGCTGGATAATAGGAGATGGTAATGAACGCAATATTGTCAACGCTTGTTACTTCGTATGAGAGATAAATGTTTGAGTGTGTGTGTGCATATACTCGCCTAATTATTATTGAAGGGGTCGAGTTTCAGCTCCTGGCCCTGCCTCCTCGCTTGTTGCAACTAGGTGCGCTCTCTCCTGGTTCCTTCTCATACCTCTCCTTAAAACTATGTACCGATCCTGCCTCTAACTCTCCACTTCCTGACTACTCTAACGCTGAAGAAATACTTCCGAACATCCCTGTTACTCATCTGTGTTTTTAATTTCAAACCATGCCCTCTTGTACCTGTTTCCCGTCCCTCTAACAATGTCCCTATCCTCCTTGTCAGTTCCTCACAGCATTTTGTACACTGTTATCATATCCTCCCCTAGTCCTGCTGTCCTGCAGTGTCATCAAGTTGAGTTCCCTTAACCTTTCCTCACAGGACATACCCCTTAGCTCCGGGACCAGTCTTCTTGCAAACCTCAGTTGCTTGAAATATCTGACCAGGTGTAGGTTCTATGGTGGTGCTGCATACTCCAATATGGACCTGATTCATATCGTATACAGTGTCGTGAATGACTCCTTAGATGTCTAAAAGCTAATATTAGATTTACCAGACGAGCATTTTCTGCAGCCGTTATTTGGTTGATGTGCGCTTCAGGAGATATGCTCGGTGCAATGCTCGCCGCAAGGTCCGTTTCCTTGAGTGAGGTTTGCAGCCTTAGTCCCCCGATCGTGTACTCCGTCTGTGGTCTTCTATCCTTATCCTCAATCTTAATATAGTAATAATAATAATAATAATAATAATAATAATAATATATATTATTTATTATTATTATTATAAAACCAACAGCAGCAATAATAATAATAAAAAAATTATATATTAAAATAATAATAATAATAAAATAATAATAATATTAATAATAACAATACTTTGAGACTTTTAGCATCAACGGGGTGACGTGACACAATACTATCAGACAGGACTCTGGAATGAGTTTACTCTGGTGGAAGTTTACTCTGGTGGAAGTTACTCTGGTGGAAGTTACTCTGGTGGAAGTTTACACTGGTAGATATTTACACTGGTATAAGTTTACGATGGTGGAAGTTTACACTGGTGGAAGTTTACACTGGTGGAAGTTTTAACTGGTGGACGTTTACAGTGGTGTAAGTTAACACTGGTGTAAGTTTACACTGGTAGAAGTTTACACTGGTGGAAGCTACACCGGTAAGAGCTACACTGGTGGGGCTATCTTTAATTAAGCCAGGAAGTGAGAACCAAGAAGTTGTAACTTTCTTTAACGCTGGAATACCGTCTGGGAATTGTTCCCAGAGTTAGGCGGGTCAGAAACTTGGCTGCGATTTAGCGGACTGTGGATCGAGCCTGCACACACACACACACACACACACACACACACAACTACTATATATATAAAAAAACTATACAACAATAACTAATAATCAAATAAAATATATATATATATATAATATATATATATA